ACGACACCCCACCCAACACTTAGAAATAGACATTGTCCTCAATGGAAAAAGTAGATGTCCAAACTAAATATAGAAAATAAGCGCAAGAGAAGTGGAAAACTCCCCTGATGGCGTAGAGCATCCGGTTGCATTTTTCACGGTTTGGGCATTGTATGTAGCCGTGGAGAATTGGACTCGGATGAGTGAAGGGTTGAACCCGTTCCTATTATGCTTGGCTACTTGTACTCCTGGCTCTGCCCACCAAACTTGAAATCCTCCACGCCTTTTTTAAAGGGCTGAGCGGACAGCAGCCATGTTTCAAATAATCGGGCCTGAACGTACAACCGACGGTGGGGATTTTAGCCATTAATGCTTCCAGGTCAAGAGAAGGTTGCTCGGTCTGACACATGACTCTCTGTGAAGATGTGGATAGAGGACAATGAAGACAGAGGTGGTGGTGTCGGCTCGATCGTGTCAGGCAGTGGTCAGGCTGGTCATGAATGTATTTTCTGGCTGCCTTGCTTTTTTGGAACCTCGTTTGATGTCGGTTTCTCGTGGCGTCCCTAAAGGTCACGTTTTCCACCAGAGAAGATGAAATCGATGGTCTGTTACGCCGGAAAAGGAGCAGCGGGTCCGGCCTGTTTGTGAAATCCTTCACGGGGTATGAGCAGGGGACGTTGGAGATCGGTTACACGCCTGGGGTTCACTTAGGTGTGCTCCGAGGGTGAACGGAGTGGCTGGCAGATTTTAATTTCAGGATGCCTGGTCGGAAAGATTCAGGTCTGGACGGGTTTGGAAGAGGAGCAATAGATCCCGCTGAAGAAGCTGCGGACGGTCTATTAAGCATGCGGTGATCGGGATGGGAATCGCGGTTCGCCGGAGTGTGCTCCGAGGGTGAACGCGGTGGTCATCGAGAATTCCTCGAGACATGTACTCCGAGGGCGACGGAAGCTGCTCGCCGGTTTCTGTTATTTGTCGTCGGTCGCGAAAGGATATGATGGAGGTGGACGGGAATGATGGATTTTCTCGCGGCAATTTCTGTGAGAGAGAGAAGAAGTTAGTGCTGGAAAGAGAAAGGGTGAATTATCTGATTTTTCTGATTTTTTTTTATTTTTTAATAAAAGTTGAATAAATAAATAAATAAATAAAAACAAAAACTGTAACAACGAGTAAGGAGCAGCGAGCAAGAGCGTTTTTCTCCTAAGGCGTGACCACGACTTAAATGAAGAGAAATCGTGCATTTTACGCGCATAATGCGTGCCCACGCCTTATAAAGAAAATCGTTCCTACCTTAAAAATTTTCAAAAATCCTATCAAAACTACCAAATACTAACCGGAAAAAATAAAAATCAAGTAGAAAAAATAAAAAACACTAAAAATTGGGTTGCCTTTCAAAAAGCGCTTTTATTTAACGTCTTTGGCTAGACCTTGCTATTGATCAACCGGAGAAGTTCGGGCTACTAAACTCAATTTTATCAATGGCGTGAGCTTGAAAACCTTCATAAAAGGGTTCAAGCGATGGCCATTCACTTTAAACACCTTACCGGTATCGTGACTTTTTATCTCAACTGCACCTTGAGGAAAAACATTAGTAACAACGAAAGGCCCTAGCCATCTAGAACGTAATTTCCTAGGAAATAGTTTCAATATAGAACTAAAAAGCAACACTTTTTGACCAATATGAAATTCTTTCTGAGAAATCATTCTATCGTGAAAATTTTTCATTTTCTCTTTATAAATTTTAGATCTTTCATAGGCTTCATTACGAATTTCTTCAAGCTCTTGCAACTGTAATTTTCTCACTTCTCCCGCCTCATCCATTTTGATATTGTAATGTTTAATGGCCCAATATGCACGATGTTCTAGTTTTACAGGAAGATGACAAGGCTTACCAAATACCAAGCGGTAAGGAAACATACCTATCGGAGTCTTATAGGCAGTTCTATACGCCCATAGCGCATCATCAAGCCGTGTACTCCAATCCTTCCTATTCAGACTCACAGTCTTCTCAAGTATAGAATTGATCTCTCTGTTCGAGACCTCTGCCTGGCCACTCATCTAAGGATGGTAAGCAGTAGAAGTTCGATGGATTACACCATACCTTTTCATCAAAGCTTTCATAACCTTGTTGTAGAAATGAGTCCCACGATCGCTTATAATGGCTCTTGGCGTCCCAAACCTAACAAAAATATTAGACTTCACAAAATCCACAACCACTTTAGCATCGTTAGTTCATGTAGCCTTAGCTCCAACCCATTTTGACACATAATCAACAGCAAGAAGTATGTACACATTGCCATAAGAAGAAGGTAAAGGACCCATAAAATCAATGCCCCAAACATCAAATATTTCACAAACTAGAATAGGGTTAAGGGGCATTTGATCTCGATGTCCTAGATTTCTTGTCTTTTGACATTGTTCACAAGACATGCAAAATAAATAAGCATCACGAAACAACATAGGCCAAAAGAATCCACACTCTAACACCTTACGAGATGTCCTTTTTGGACCAAAGTGTCCACCACAAGCATAAGAATGACAAAATCTCAATATAGACTCAAATTCATTTTCAGCGACACACCTTCGAATAACTTGGTTAGAACAAAATTTCCAAAAATAAGGCTCATCCCAAGAATAATATTTAGCTTCACTTTTAGTTTTATCCTTTTGAGACCTAGACAAATACGTTGGTCAAGTCCCAGCAACTAAGTAATTAACTATATCAGCGTACCAAGGATTCATCTTCTAAACAGAAAAGAGATGCTCATCTGGAAACTTTTCTTTCAATGGGGCTACCTCTTCACTTGTGATCAATCTACTTAGGTGATCAGCTACCAAGTTCTGTGATCGTTTCTTGTCGCATATCTCCAAGTCAAACTCTTGAAGCAAGAGTATCCACCGAATAAGAAGAGGCTTTGACTCCTTCTTCGCAAGCAAATACTTGATAGCTGCATGGTCAGAATAAACAATCACTTTAGCACCAAGTAAATAAGAACAAAAGTTTTCTAAATCAAATACAATAGAAAGAAGCTCTTTTTTTTGTCGTCGAGTGCGAGCGCTATCAAGCGTCCTCGACGTATAGTAGATAACATAAGGAGTCCTTCCAATTCTCTGGCCAAGAACAACACCGATTGCATAATTGCTCGCATCACACATGATCTCAAATGGGAGACTCCAATCCAGTGGTCTAATGATTGGCGCAGATGTCAACATATCTCTCAGCTTATCAAATGCCTCTTTGCACATGTCATTGAAGTCGAACACTACATCTTTTTGCAACAGTCTACACAAGGGATGAGTAATCTTCGAGAAGTCTTTGATGAAGCATCGGTAAAATCCTGCATGTCCAAGAAAAGAATGAATCTCCCGCACACTCACGGGGTTAGGCAAGGATTTAATAACATCTACCTTAGCTCTATCAACTTCAATTCCCTTAGAAGAAACTATATGCCCTAGAATAATGCCTTGATCAACCATAAAATGACATATCTCATAATTCAGAACAAGATTATTTTCAATACACTTTTCAAGTATCTTAGTAAGATTAGAAAGACACGAATCAAAAGAATTTCCATAAACTGTGAAATCATCCATAAAGACCTCAATGATATTCTCTACATAATCAGAAAATATACTAACCATACACCTCTGGAAAGTGGTCGGTGCATTACAGAGCCCGAACAGCATCCGTCGATAGGCAAAAGTGCCAAATGGGCATGTGAAAGTAGTCTTCTCTTGATCCTCGGGTGCAACCGGTATCTGATGAAAACCTGAGTAACCATCAAGTCAACAATAATTAGTATGACCAACTAATTGTTCAAGCATTTGATCAATAAACGGCAATGGGAAATGATCCTTTCGTGTCAATGCATTCAAAGCTCGATAATCTACACAAACTCGCCACCTGTTTTGCTCACGAGTGGCTACAAGCTCACCTTCAAAATTCTCTAATACTGTAATTGTAACACCCCGCCTTATCATGAAGATCAGAGTGCGTTTATACAAACCTTTTTAAATAAAATACTGTCTGGTTTGCAAAATACTGTTTCGGAGTGCTACCATAATACATGACTTACTTTTAAATCAGACTGTTTTAAGAAAACAGCTCACAGTCTGCTGACAGTCAAAAAGGACTAAGAATGACGAACAGTAAAAAGTCAGCGGAAATTGTAGTGGCAAAATAGGATAGCAGTGCTATGATCGTAAAAATGAGTCTACAAGAGATAGCAATAGCACTGCTATGCCAAATTCAAACTATACAAAACGTAATTTAAACTTTATAAGCATGAGTCCTGAACTGCTCGTCGTCTCACGCTTCTGGCCCGACTCCATGACCTGAAAAACATGATAAAAATGGGTCGTGAGCACTAAAGTCTGTGCTCCGTGGAAACTCATACTAAAGTAAACAGTGAAAATAATTACAATAACATGATCCTGGCATGAACAAGAACATGAAACCGGTACTGAATAATCATGATCTGATACTGATGGTGAGATAATATCATCACCTGCATGATACCTAAACATCTGGCAGCAAAATACTAATGCCGGACACCATGTCACACTCTAGTGGGCAAATTAAGGCCACTAGAACACATAATGGACCGGCGACCATTCCGAGTGGATACTGATAATACATACCTCAAACATGGTAGAATAATTATAATCAATGTAATACCCAGTCTGAGTCCCCACCTGAATTGTCTGACTGAAAAGGTAGTTCTGATAATCATATCCTGATCAAACTGAAAAATAATATAAACAATTACTAAATACTACGCCCAGACTGATAAAATAACTTTTTAATATATTAAGATGCTCTACTGGACTTAAACATGACATTCAGATTTAACCGGTATAACTGGAACCGACTAAAACTGGAACTGAATTGACATGAATTTATTGAACTGAACCGGACCCGGAATTTAACTAAAATTGGAAGTTAAAACATGAACCAGGTTTTAAATTTAAAAAATATGGACTGAACCGGTTTCAACCGGTCTGAACTAAACTGGCCGGACCGCCGGCCTGCAGTGGCCGATCGGTCGGCGGCTGACTCGGTCCACGACCTTGCTGCGGCTGTGGCACGGCTGCTGACGGGACTGGGTGCAGTCACGGCCACAGCAGGGCCTGCTGGACGCGGATGAATGGATCTCGGCGCTGCCAGACGCTATGTGCGTTGGCACCAAGCGCCGCTGAACATCACCGAGCGCTGACGTGCACTGCGGCAGGTACTTGGATGTAAGAACGTGCACGCGGGTGCTGACTGAATGTGACTGGCACTGCGCGGGCGCTACAGAGCGACACCTGCGGCGCTGGCTACCCGTGCGGCTCATTTGGGCACTGCCGAGGCCACTGACGTGCGACTGTGCACGCTGGCATGCGTTACCGCACGCTGGCGTGCATGACTACGCGTTGGCGTGTGTGTGTTCGCACGACCAACTGCTGACTGCTGCTACAGGCGGTTATGTGCTGCTGCCATGGGCATACGCACGCACTGGCTGCCCATGTTGCCTGACTGCAGGCACGCACAGCCGCTATGGGCGACAGCGTGCATACGTCCGGCCCTTGCCGGCCGTTCGAAAACTTCTTCCGGCAACCTTAACATGATTTAACATAATTTAACTTGACATGATCATACATGCTGACCTTTCTTAAACTTACTGAATTTTGTTCGAAGGACTCGACTTCTGTCGAGGTGTGCGCACCATGCACACGGGTTCGGCGTTAGGCCTATACCTCGACTAAACGTGAAACTTCTCCAAACAATATAAAGAGTCTTACCTTAATACACCATTTTAAAACTGTTGGGACATGAATTACTCGGACAAACTTGATCATAACAAAAGATAACATGACACGGCCGGTTATGGTCCGTAGGCGCGCGCTACGTGCGCTGCCGACGATTTTAGGCCAATTCACGAACAAATAATCAACTTGTCTCGACCAACATGAAGTAACTGAGTATAAAATGATCTAAAATGATCAAATAAACATGAACTACTCGGGAGTTGCTGGATAGAAAAGGATATCACTCGGTCATGGTCTAAAATGGCCTAAACCGAACATATCATGGCCTTTCATGAACTATTTGGAACATGAGCTGAAAATTCAACGCTACATGAACTTATTAACATAAAAAGATGTTGAGGATGAAGCTACCTCCTCAAGTGTTCGGTGAAATTGTGCAAGGTCGGACGTGATCTCCCCTTTCCGCGTGTGTGCGTGTGTGCGGCTTGTCGTGTGTGATGAAATGCTTAAAACTCTCTTAATCTCACTTAGTTTAGCGTAAGTGTTTAGCTTAAGAATACTCTGATTTTTCACCCCAACTTTCTGTTTTATAAGAGGTTAAACGATGGTGAAAATTGAGGAGAAAGTCACGGCCAATGGCAATGGGCCACTTGCCACTAGCTCACGGCCTTAGGTGGCCTTATGGTGCTTACTCACCAAGTTACTAGCTTAGTCACTCCTCAATGCCTTCTCCAACTTCCATGTGTCCTTAGCTATGATGACTTCACGTGAATAAACTTGAGAGACTTAACTCTCGGCCATTAGATGTGCTAAGCACGGCTTAAGCGCGCTAAGCTTACTTATGCGTATGCTAAGCATATGCAATGGTGCTTGACCGTGCAAGCCTTGCTTAAGCTTAAACTAAGCACAATTAGTACATGATTAATGAACTTAAGCTTGGTAAAATTAATTATCGAGCGATTAAACATGAATTACTTATCGGAAAAATTATTCCGAACATAACGTGATATTCGAAAATTAATTCGAACAATCGGAACTGAATTAAATAGTTCCGAACGATAACGATTAATAAAATAAATATTTTGGAACTAAACATGATATTACATTAATAAACATGACGGGATATTACAATCTTCCCCCCTTAAAATATTTCTGCCCTCGGAAATACAAAACGTACATATACATGTGAGACATGATAGAATATATACATTAGAACTGAAAATCAGGAAAACGAGAGCGGATATCAGCCTCTTGCTCCCAAGTGGCTCCGTGGCGATCCCACTGAATACGAACGAGGGGTACATCATGCTTCCGGAGCCGTCGAACCTGTCGGTCCAACACAGCTACCGGTCGCTCCTCGTAAGATAAGTCTAGATGGATCTGAATATCAGTATGAGTAATGACATGATCGGGGTCACACACGTATTTACGCAACATGGATACATGAAAAACATTATGAACACTAGATAACTCGAGAGTTAAGGCCAATCGATACGCAACGTCGCCCACTCGCTCAAGCACTTCGAACGGGCCAGTGAATAGAGGGTGCAACTTCCCTCTCTTCCCGAATCGAATAACTCCGCGAAATGGACTAACTGCTGGAACACGCCGACAAGGCGGTCCTTCCCACGGATTGATATCGGATACCAAACACGTACATACATGATTTCGAATAACCCTAGGCATGCTCCTAAAGGACGAACAGAGAATTACCTTGAAAAAGGAGGATTGATTCGATCTGAGCGACCTTCTAGTATGTGTCCCGACCACGCTTGGACGTCGGATGGACGACGATCCTCCAAACGGTTGAAAGAAGCAGACTGCCCTCGTCTTTCTCTTACCCTTCTCGTTACTCTCTCCACGATGGTGGTTGGAGTATCTCACGAATTGCTAGGGTTTAAAACGTGGGAGGTCCCCTCCTTTTATA